AAAGTGCACCATAAATCCCTTAGGCCCTCTTTTCTTTTCTTTTTCTTTCTTTTTTTGCTCCTCTAACTCAAATGGTTTCATATCAAATAATTTCAAATGGTTTTTAACAATAGCCATACACTATTCAAACCACCAGAACTATATTATGTTAATCATGAGAATTTTTGGAATACATGAACAAAGTAGAATATGAATATGAAAACTGCCTTAAGGTATTAATAAAATAATTAATTCAACTCTTTCCAAAGCTTGGTATTTATTGAGCATTGTAGAATGGAAAGTGAAACAATTTCTTGAATGTCATCATCTAATTTTATCTTTTAAATTCACTGTTCATGTGACTGTCTTGATTCATGTATTTAATATAACAGTTAAAATGTATTCTCCTTAAAAAGGTTTAATAATGGGGGTACTTTAAAGAGGTGGAAAGAGGGATTTGTTTTTCTAATAAAAAATGAAGCTCACTTATTTGGAGGCTACTTTGACATCTTTAATTGTATGGAACACAAATGAGAAGTCAAAATGCTTCTTGAGTGACTTAGCAGGTACCTGCACCTGAACCCATGGGAGACACCAGGAGTCTTTCTCAGACTCTCATGCAGATTTTACAAACTAAAGGAGGCATCCCTTTTAAAGATGTAAGGACACTAGGTACACAGAGAGGACTGGAAGAGGGCCAATAATGGAGGTGGGAGAACTTTTAAAAGCATAGCTCGTTTGGGGATAAAAAGTAAGGATAAAATATTCTGATATACCTCAAAAACTTCTGGAAGATGAAATGTATAAACATACAGTGAGCAATGAGGGATTATATATTACCATTATATTTGCATTCCCGGGGCCTTGCAATAATGGTCCACATAATAAATATCTAATAAAACAATCCTTCATGCTCAAGGTAAAAAATAAATAAATAAAAAGCAACTCATATCTTAAACACATTACAAAACACATACAAATTCCACATCAGAAACACTTGAGATTAAATTATGCACCTGGAGAACTTTAGTCTCATTAAGTGGAATCTTAAAATAATCTTTGTTAAATACTAAGAGAAGGTTTTATCAAACATCCCTGATATACGAATGAGTACTTTGAATTTTGTCATCTTAATCACGTCCTATTGAAATCAGTCCATTTTCCTGTTCTTTCTACAGTCAGTGATCCATTGTATTGTACCTGAAGCAGTTCTCAGAAAGACTTCTTCAAAATTAATTAATTCATATTTTTTTTGGTAAAAGTAATATGAGGATACCATTTGTTTGTGCCAAATGCAGTGCGTCTTTACTGTCTTGTAGATTTCCACCTGTAATCATAAACTGAAATAGAAAGAAATAAAATAAGCTGACTTTAATAGGGTATCAACAACAGTTTCCTAAGCAGGACATCCTGTCACCTCTTTATTCCAGAATGCTTTTTCCTCTGTGACTGTCACACAACTACCCTTCCTTTAAATTTTAGCCAGAGGATCACCTCCTATGTAGACTGGTACCTGACTACCCCTCTACACACACACCCACCACAGCTGAAATTTGTCATTCCTCCTTGTTAAAATGTATTTACATGTCTGTCTTTCCTATTAGGCCATGTGTTCCTAGAGGACACAGATCATGTGTTATGAAAGATTGAAGAGCTGAAGACTTGCAAATTTACAATTTTGTTAATCTAAATCAGTGACTAATTTAAATCAATGATTCAATAGTGTTGATTAGTTCAACAGTTCTCCAAGTATGGTCTGGGAATTCCTAGGAGGTATGTGAGGTCAAAACTATTTTCATAATAACACTAAGACACTATTTGTCTTTTTCACTCTCATTCTATCACAAATGCACAGTGAGGTATTCCAGAGATGTGTGATATCACCACAGAGTGACTACAGAAACAGACAGGAAAATTCAGCAGTTTTCCATTAACCCAGCCACTAGAAAAATTTGAAAAACTGTAACAATTCCACTCATGTTGCTAAATTTTTTTGTTCTGAAAAATATTTATTTTTCATAAAAATATGCTACTTTATGTTATATAGTAGTTTATTGTTATTTTAAAAGAAATTAATAAATATTTTTAAATTTTCTCTGGACTACAAGTATATGCCACCACATTCAGCTAATTTTTCTCATTTTTTATAGAGACAGGGTCTCGCTATGTTGCCCAGGCTTGTCTCAAACTCCTGGCCTCAAGTGATCCTCCCACCTTGGCCTCCCAAAGTGCTGGGATTACAGGCATGAGCCACCGCACCTGGTCTGCATTTATTAAACAATAAACACCAAGAAAAGGGTCTCTATCATGTAAAACTCATCCGTTATTTCTAACATTAAAATCAAATTAAATGGTTACTCAATCAGGGAACTATGTACTTCCATTCCTTATGAATTACATGCAAGTATGCATGGACTGTTTCACTTAACTTTTCCTATACAAAGGGGAAAAACAAAAACATCCTGATGCTTAATCCAACTACATTCTTTTTTTTTTTTTTTTTTTTTTGAGACAGAGTCTCGCTGTGTTGCCCGGGCTAGAGTGCCGTGGCATCATCTTAGCTC